AAACAGAGTTTGGTTTCTCTTCTAGAAAAATAAAATCTGTTAGTTTTTGTGCAGTGTATTTTATCATATATTTCCAAGGTGACTGAATTTAAAATATTGTGAGTGAGGCAGTTTTCATTATAAATATGTGACTTGCTTTTCTTCTTGGTTTCTGGTCTATTATTAAATGTGGAGGTTGGTGGCCCTCCATGTGGCAGGGGGTTGGAGATTCATGATCCTTGAGGTCCCTTCCAACTCTGGGCATTCGGTGATTCTGTTTCTGAGAGATGAAAACTACGATTTTTTCAGAGCATGTTGTGAAAATCCTATTTTGTAAGGCTTTTCAGAGAAGAAGTGACTTAAACAATGCATTTGAGTGTGAGCTGTTATTGTTTAACATAGGGTTTTAACATTTAATAGAAAACTCAGATTTAAAGAGAAAGCGTTTTTGTTGTCTCTGTTATTCTTTATTTGTATTTTTACTATCTGTATCAGCATCTGAAGCTTGGAGATTTGAGTAAACCTGAATTTTTAAAGAAGTCTTTCCTAAATATATCTTGGATGTTGAGTCAAATTGATACTTAGCTGCTCCTAAGGTAGCAGAATATAAGCCTATTTCCACTTGTGTTCCTTTTTTCTCTAGCACACCCTTTTTTTCCCCTGACTATCATCTTCTGTATTATAAAACTGCGTATTTACTCCTGAAGTGAGTGTTCCCGATGCTGATTTAATGTATTATTCTGAACCTTCTAAGAGTTTTTCTTGTCTTTACTTTGTTGGGAAGTGATGGGAAATACTTAAATATTCTTATTTAATGATTAGTCCTTTATTGGATTGAAAATGTTTTAATTTTCTTCAACACTTCCACTTTTTTACATTACTTTTTTAGTTCTGAACCACATGAAAATCCTCAAATCCATTGGTGTTAGTAAATATCATTAGCCCCACTGCAGTTCCAACAAGGTAAATTCTTACATAACCAACCTAGTGATGGTGTAACTACATCAGTGGACAAGGGAAGAGCCACTGATGTCATCTATTTGAAATTCAGTCAGGTCTTTGACATAGTTCCCCATAATATCGTTCCTTCCAAATTGGAAATATATGGAGTTGTTGGGTGGACTGTTTATTGGATAAGGAACTGGTTGTGAGATCATATCTAGAGAGTGGTGGTCAGTGGCTCAGTGTCCAGATGGAGATTGGTATCTAAGTGCCATTCAGTGTTGCAACCAATGTTTCTTAATATTTTCATCAATTACAATGACAGTGGGATCAAATGCACCCTCAGCAAGTTTGTGGATGACACCAAGCTGCATGGTGCAGTCAAAATGCCCAAGGGACAGGATGTCATCCAGAGGGCTTTAGGCTTGAACTGTGGGCCCTGGTCCGCCTCATGAGGTTCAACAAAGCCACATGTAAGATTTTCGCATAGGTTGTGTAAACCCTCACTAACAATACAAGCTGGGAGACGAAAGGATTGAACACAGCCTTGCAGAAAAGCACCAGGGGTACTCGTGGATGGCAAACTGGATATGAGCCAGCAATATTCCCTCACAGCCCGGAAGGCCAACTGTATTCTGGGCTGCATCAAAAGAGCAGAGACAAGCAGATAGAGGGAGCAGATCCTTTCTCTCTACTCTGTACTGATGAGACCTCATCTGGAGTACTGTGTCCAGATGTGGAGCCCTCAGTACAGGAGAGACAAGGACCTGGCGGAGTGCATCCAGAGGAGGGCCGCAAAAGTGATCCAAGGGGTGGGATGTCTCCCCTGTGAGGACAGGCTGAGAGTTTGGGGTTGTTCAGCCTAGTAAAGAGAAGGCTCTGGGGAGACCTGATAGTGGCCTTTCAGTATCTAAAGGGGGGCTATAACAAAGGAGGCTGACTCTTTAGCTGCAGATGTCCACGTTCATTGCAGGGGAGTGGGACTAGATGAGCTTTAAGGGTCCCTTCCAACTCAAGCAAATCTATTTTATGATTATACATATGTTTCTTCCTCCTTTTCAAGATGTTCTGCTGTAAGACTAGAGCAAATCCTAGTTCCTGAAAGATGGAACCTGGGTGTCTCGTTTCTCAAACTGTGTGTGAAAGAAATACTTTCAAACATTAAAACTTAAAGTGCTTGGAAGTTGAAGGTTAAACAGAAGAAAAATGCTCAACTAGTTTGAGGCACTTTAGGGATGTGAAAAAAGGTGTTCTGCATCTTGGTTCTAGATGCCTAAGGCTACCTTAGAACAAGGGTTTCTGGGTGATGCAGCACATTAAACTGAAACAAATGCTAATAAATAGTTCACCAATAGTATTACAAGATAATTGTATTACAGAATTACACAAATAATAGAATGTTGTCTGGAAAATACTTTATCAAAGAAACATGCTTTTTACAATTTCCTTGTTTTTCAACCATTTCACTTGAAACATTTGCGCTATATTGACCTACTGAGCCCTTCAGGAGGCTGTTAAAATCTGTTACAGTAGTTCTCTGCCCTGCTGGTGCTAAAAGTTGATCCTCCTCAGGCATCAAGGCACTCAGAGAGCTAATTTGTAATGCTTGCCTTTCCTTTTCTCTTATATCTTGGGTAAGCATGCTGAAATGTCATTCCTCTACCTGTTATTCCACTTTGTATACAGACTTGCATCATTCTCATCTTTACAGTGGCTGGATTCTATTCAGAAGTACACTAGTCGATGTGACTAACATCTGTTTTGGATGGTTCATTATTGCTCTCAGCCTGTCCTCAAAAGCTGTATATTTAATCATACATATTTAATCCTGTATATTAAATCATGTAGTATTCAATATACCACTGTAGTGTGCAGGAGTATGTGTCTAACTATATGGCTTTGGTATTAATTTACGCTAATGAAGGCCAAAAAAAATGATGCGCTTCCACTGCAATAGAAGATAATGAGGCTTGTGTGGACTTCAGAGTTTGGAAGAGGTTATTCCCCAATCTCCCTACTGTCTCACTCCATTTCCTGGTTTGTTTCACCCAGCAAGAAGACAGTGAATATAGTGCATTTCACTGATACAGTTCAGGTGCTCCTAAACAATTCATTAAATGAATTTTGAGCAAACTGTTGTACATATGATCTGTAATCACATGTATTCAAAGCAAGCAGTGTATTAGCCTATGAGTAATCAGTATTTGGGAGTGCGGGGAGGGGGAAGTAGATAAGGGTAGGTAAGGGTAAATTAGATTGGGTAAGGCTACAGATTCTGGGAAAAGTATGTAGGAGTAGGCAAGGTTATATGACCTGTGTCATCAGTGTGTGCATCACTGTTGGTGAACCACAGCTGGTGGTTCTCAGGCCAGCTGAGAGGAGCTCCCAAAGCTGTCTTCCAGCATCCTTTTATGTGTGAATTGGCATGATAAGCAAGGTGGGGGCAAACAGAAGGTATGCAAACTAAGATAAGCATGAGTATGAAAAACACATGGCTGCAGATAAGTAGAGAAACTTCAGTTGGTTCCTTAAGACCTCATTTTCAGTTCCCAAAAACATGATGGATTGTGTATATAATAATCATCACATGATTTATGGCCTCCACATTTCTGCCAAAGGCAGCACTTTCTCTTTTCATTGACAACTTCCAGTCGTAACTCAGGCCCTTGACATCTTGACATGAGCACTAGGCCACAAGTTGTTAGGCAAAGGCAAAGCAAGTACAGTGACCAAGGCATAATTACAATCTTATCCAGCCTGCATGGCTAGGGACAGTTCTCGTTATCGACTAGAAAATGTCTACCAGACCTGTACCTCATCCCATTCTCCGGTCTTGCATGACCTTTCCCTTCTTCAGCTATGCTTGGGCCATGCTCCACATCAAACTAGGAGGATGTTTCCTTTCTGCAAGATGATGTGAATGTCTTAGAGGTGGAATTACCATCTGCAGTGCTGTCCCATTTTCTGTAATGGATGTTCTAGTGTAGCTCACTTGTGGAGTCATAGAATGTCATGCGTTGGAAGGGGCCTTAAAGTCAAACTAGTTTCAGCTCCACTGCACTGGGCAGAGATGGCATCCACTACATCAGGCTATCCAGGGCCCCTTTCAAAACCTGGCCTTGATTGCCTCCAGAGATGGAGCATCCACTGCTTCTGTACAACCTGTGCCTCACAACCCTCTGAGTAAAGCATTTCCTCGTAACATCTAAACTAAATCTTCTCTCTTTTAGTTAAAAGCCATTCCCCTTTGTCCTGTCACTATTTAGGCATGTAAAAACTTGGTCTCCCTCCAGTTTATAAGCTCCCCTTAATTAGCAGAATGAATGAAGTATCAAACTAACATTGTACTTTTGTAGTTATGATAGTAAGCTGGAGTGGATATTTAGTGGGCTTCTATTATTTCACAGCTACCTCCTGCTGTCCCTAACTAAACTTTGGATAGTTTGTTTAAAAAAAATCCTAATTGTCTTCTGCTATAAATATTAGCGTTTAGTCGTAGATTTTTAAGCCTCCTAATTCCTTTCGCACTTTACAAAATGGGGAAATTTTCTAGTTAACAAAAAGTGTCAGCTTCCAAAATTTGTATAGACAAAGTGTTTCCATATATTATTTCTTGACTACTCTGTTGTTCCAATGTTGAATGAATGTAGTCTCAAGCAAATAAAAAATCATCCCTGGAATATCTCCTTTTTACTCTGTTATTATATCGTACGGTCAGTCCTGCCATTTGTTCATTTCTCCTATAGGTATTTATACAACCATTTATATAACCAATTGCTGGAAAATGATTGTTTTCATTATCATTCATCAGCGAGCTAAATAGATCCTGCTGAAGCACTGTGGTTTGGACAATACACTACAGTTTGTCAATGAATAAACTTCATTCTTAGATGAGTAATTGGTTTCTTTATGCTTGCACCGTGTAAGTTGTTCTTCACAATTCCTGTCAGGAAGCTGCATGTTCTACATCATACTAGACAAATATAGCATGTATATGCTGATACAGGTTACTCTTACAGCTTGATAATATTTGTTGATTTAACACTCTTCTAAGGTTTGGTGTTTTGTTTTTCCCTTAGGGATATGATGACGGATATGGGGGTGAATATGACGATCCAAGCTATGAGACGTATGATAACAGTTATGCCACCCAAACACAAAGGTAAGCATTTGTACTTTTTTCATTAATTTTTCAAATAAAGACATGTCTTTTCTCTTGGGTTTTTATGTAAATGTCCTGCTTTATTTTTCCACATTAAATTCTTCAGTAGCTCACAGTACTTTGAGTAAATATCAAATAATAATAATACTGTTCAGAGTTAATAAACAGGATAATTCAGATGAAGTAGAAATACAGACAGCTCGACTTTTTTAAATGTTGCAACTTAAGAGTATTTGTTTTAAAAAAGCAAGTGACTACACTGTTTTACTATCTGATGTCATTCTGTTTTCATTGGTGCATTTTATTTTATTTTTAGTAGTGCAAAGTTGTCAAGAGCTTCTCATATTTAATGTTTTTACAAAATTTTTAGCAAAGCAAGAAAGAAATTGTTTAAAAAAGTATGTCAAGGTAAACTATGGAATGGAATCATGTGCCTGAAGTAATGGTAAAGCTATCTGCTTCCAGCCATTAACTTTCTCAGCAGCTTGCAGAACTGATAAAGGCAGCAAAGTTTAAAAATCCTGTTTTATGTCCCTACCCTGTGAGGTAATGGCAGAATCATGTTCATAACACTTATGATTTATATCACTAAAAAGAGGCAATAAATATGATCACTCTTTATGTGCACATACACCACACGCAGAGTTGGACTGTGTTTATCAAATGTGAATGACATTCTTTCCATGCTTAGGGTGAGGGATAAAATAGTGTTTCAATCAATTATTCAGAAAATGCACTTATTAGTCATTAAGAATGTGTGTTAGATTGTGGAAAGGCAAATGAAGTTCTGAAAGAAAAATAAATGTATTTTGAGTTCATTGCGACTCACTGTATGAGAAAGTCATTATTATATAGAGAGTTCTACCCTTTTACCCTTTTTTTAAATGGTTTTATTGAACATTTTGCTGGTGAAAATACCCATAAGAATTAAGTTCTGCTCTAAAACTGCTGTAGTGAGTGTCATTTGAGATGGCAGAAAAAACTTTGTAAGTATTTTTACAACCAGTGAACATATTTAAAAGGACTTGTCACACCTGAATGTGAACACCTTCAATGATACTTTGACAACATACTTTTAAGTAATCATGCGTTACTAGCTGCACCTGTCATGTCATTGAGTAGGTAGATATTCTTGTTGTCAGATGTACTTAAATTTTTTCAAAAGAATTCAACCTTTTGCTGTGATAGTGTATTGTCACAGGAAATAGAACTTATTGTGATAATTTGACTCAAAACAGAAGTTTTACAGAGTCAAATAATTTGGCAAATTAAACAGCCATTATGTTAAATAGTCAGGTATGTTCACTATTAATATGAGCTACAACAAAGATACCTACTCTACTACAAAAGTTCAAATAAAAAATTTCTTTTTGTAATACATGGCAGGGTCCAAAGCCATAGTCATACATGTTGAGTGTCACTGAAGGCCTTATGAAGTCTTTTGATTTCACTTGGGGATTAACACACTGCTCAGATTTCAAAGATGTAAAGAACAAATGGACCATTGGGTACGCAGTATAGATTTCTGTACCTCATTGGTCATTCATCCAACCTCACGGAAATACTTCCATAATGAGGTGAAATAGTGCAGTATAACTGTATGCATGAATAATGGGTCAAAAATATTTATTTTGCTTTAAATACCAAAAAAGTTTTCCTCCAATCTTAGATCATGTTTTTATTAAATCTGATTATAGGAGCAACACATATCACACATACACCTAACAAGGAAGATAATTTGTACCACTTCAGAGTGCTTATTCATTTCATCCACCGTGTGATTTACTGGGGAAAAAAAGTAAATCTTGTAGAAAATCTGTGCTTAGAGAAAAAAAAAAAAATCATTACTGCCCTCTGCAGGGATTGACTGAAATTTCGAAGCATGACAAAAAATAATTGAAGTCAGTGGATTAATGCAGAACTTCAAGATTCCTGCTCCTGTTAAGGACAGAGTTTCCACTTGTTTTTTATGGCTCATTAAGGAATCAATATGGAAATACTTAGAGTAGGTCCAAACTCTGCTCTGACTATCAGCCTCACCAAGCGCATTGACCAAAGCTTACTCTCGTTGACACTTCAAACTAAAGAATGTATCACTGAGAAGAAATGAACACTGAATTCTGGGTGATTTAGAGCAGAGTGAATGGTAACTTTTTCCCTATGCTCTCAATGCACTGTGTGAAAATACTGTTTGGATAGCCTGCTACTGCCATGACCGCAACCTGTGCCTCATGTCTACTTCGTATTTTCTCTGCCCGCACATATACTTCTTCTGAGGGCCCTTGGTCCTTCATTGCTCAAGAGGCATGATTTAGACTTTTTATAAACTAGGTTTTGCCAAAAGCAGAGAAAATGATCATGACGTCGGCGTACACCACTGTGCTATTAAATAGAATCATGTAGCAGGAGCACCAAAAACACTCAGCACCCAGACCATCTATATGCAAGTCGGCATAAGCACTGTTCTTTTGTATAGTTCTTTTGTATATGGTGATCTGTACTGAATGTCAGAGATAAAGTTGCAGGCCCAGCAATAAATTTTGTATAGACTCTTCTCTAATGAACTCTACCGCTGACACTCTTCCAGACAGAGAATTCTGTCCTCCATAACAGTTCTCTGATTTTTAGACTGATAATAGGGGTATGAGGTCATTGTGAAAGAGACCATGATGGAATGTTGATATCAGACTGGAGTGAAACCTACAATAAGTCTGTATGGCTGAGTGAGCTAAAACATACCTCAAGACACCATTGAAATGGACACAGAAGCAACTTGAAGAAAAAAGTAGGATCATAGCTATGGTATCACCTGTCCCTTGAAAAGAAATACAGATCATAAGAAATACAGTTATTTCTATGGCATACATTGCATGAGGAATGTCTTGTTTTAACTAACAGACACTGTATATCTAAAGCCACCTTTTTTTCCTCCTCATCTTCCTGTCCCATAATGGCTTCCCAAATGTGTCTATAATTATTATTTAAAATTCCATAAAAGACTAGAGGTTTAGCAAGAGCATTTAGAAGCCTTGCTACTTTTAAAACTGTATTTATATTGATGCAAAGATACAGATTTAAAGGTAATTGGAATGAAAGTGTTATCTGACACCAAATGAACATGGAAACAATCATTTCGGTGGGTGGGAGAGGACATCAGCTTTAATAAACTTTCCATAGGGAACATTTTTATAGCAGTTTGAGTTAGTTAGCATTAGAACATCTCTTGCCCTTCCTTTCCATTCAGTTTGAGATGGATTTCAGTGATAAGACCTTACCATATATACCAAGCTTCTGAACTTCTAGTATAACAATTTTAGTTAGAAGTATGAAACTTAGACATACTAATCAGATGTAAAATCTCTGAATATGATGACCATCCCTGTTTTGGCTGTTAACCTGTGTCAATAGTGAGGAGCAGATTATAGGTAAGGGAAAGAATTAGCCTGCTGTTCTCAAATAACAGCGCCTCAGCAACTGGATAATGTCCAACTGAATTTGCCCTTCCTCTTGCTTGATACTTGGAAACTTGTAAAGAGTACGTTCTGTCTGTCCAACAGAGTTCTGGTATGTACTCTTACTGAACAGGTTTTAGCTAGACTCAGTTGTCACCAATGGGATGGCTTGACTTTGACCATCACCTGCCCACTATTCATTGCTAAGATAAATGTTCTTCTGCAGGCTTCTAAAGATATGCTGCTTCCTCACCTTTTCATTCTTAGTAGCAACATAGCACACTGATATCTTCAATGACTACTTATCTTCAAACATGTTGGAACATATAATGGCAACAGTCCTTTTCCTTTCTCACAGAAAAACTGATTGAAAGAGAGAAATACAATTTTTATAGGGCTAAAGGCAAACTCATAAAAGAAAACTTAAAATGATAAATCCAGAATGGGAAAAGTATTACTTTCCAAGTGAACTGTAGCACAGAAGATGTTAAGAGTATTCTGTCAATTTTCAAAATACAGTGCATTTTTGATTTTCTAAACAGGAACTTACAAGTCTGTTGAGCCAATACCATTATCCATGATCCACAGGTTGAGAACAATAGATCACCAGGAAAAATTGATCAAATGTTTTGTGAGATCTTCAAGATCTAACTTTTTGGTTAAAGTCTGATAGGGCATCAGACCGTTCTGTGTGCAAATTGTGGCCAAATTCCTCAGCCAAGACCAGAATGATTTTGCAGAAGTGAATCAGTTGCTTGTGAATCAGAGCCACCTTCTGATAACACATCTCCAGTGACCTTTGTGTCTCTATCAGCATCATCAGTTTTGTTTCATATGTACCATGTCTCACAGCTAAAAGAGGTAGAGGGGAAGTCTGGAACTGACTGGCCAGTCAAAAGATGAACCAAAAAGAGTATATTTTATTTAATATTTTATTTAACATGTACATAATCTGTCCATTATATGAAGTGTAAACAGTGGTGCCTGTAAGGGAAAAGAAAGGAATTAACACTTGTCCTCTGAAGCTTAGAATTTGAATTTGATATAATTTCCCTTTTCCACATAGTCTGGCTTGAACACTTAGACATCAGGTCATTTTTTTTTAATGACCAAGTAGTTTGGATATTGGCTAAGGCTTCCTGGTCTGGCTGGTTGGCTTGCTTTTCTGATTTTTGTTCTGTCTGGTTTTTGTTTAAAATTATAGTTCTGGTATAAAATGAGTTGCTGTGTGACTATTTTATAAAGAAAGAAGTGTCTGTGACTTCCATCCCAAGCAAAAAAAAAAGAGAAAATCAGAAAACCTGTAACATAAGTAGAATAAGTAATTCAGTGTTGAAAGACAGATGGAAACAGTGCAAACCATTGCTGACTTACAAACCAACCCCAGTGTTACATGGGAATTTTCATAACTTATCTTCATCTGTGTTGTATGCTGCAAGATGACATATAGAAGGGGCGCTTCTCTTACCTTCCTGGATCCAGCCTCACTGATGATAGCACCCCAGTTTTAAGGCATTGAAACAATTCTTCGCAAAATATTTACTGTTA